AAAAGGTGGGAAACAACAAAGGGAGAAAACCTCTGGGAATTTACCCCCCTTTTAAAAAACAAAAAAATAGAAGCCCCCCCCCCCCCCAAAAAAGAAACTCATCACAAAGGAAAAAGGCAACACACAGGTCCCTAAGGGTGAGGGCAGTGAACTTCAGAAAGTAAGATACCAATACTAAGGAAATCCAAGCAACCAAGTTAACTGTGACACAGACAGAAGAAGAAACCAGGGCCAAGGAGAAGAAAGGGACAATTTCATATATCTGTGTAATCAAAGAAGCAAAGGATGAAAGCTGAAGTGCTTGATCCTCTCAACAAAGGAAAACTAGAAACAAAAGTTGTTGTTGGAAACAGATGGTTAAATCTGCCCCAAACCAAGGTAGACTCAGCTGTAGCAACAAAATAAGGAAGTCGAGAATCTGTTTCCAGGATCCGAACAGAACCAACTACCCAGTGCATAAGAATAGTACACTTCTGACCATCAGAATGCCTCCACTCACCTTTGTAATTGTAAATGACTCCTGTTAAGAAGTGTCAGGACCTCAGAAATGTGAATACATGAATTCACAATTTGGACAATCCATGAAATGATTTAAGTTTTTTATTTTGTTGAGGTTGGTCTGGTATGTCCATGGTACTTAGGCCTTGTTTCACTGGAATAATGATGAAACTAGAATAATTTCATAATTTGTTTAAGAGAAGAAGTCAAATTAGTATTATTCAAAACAGAAGTTCTAACTAAAATGTTCAAAATTTTGAATCTTTCTCAAAATCAAGAAAATAAAAAAAGACAACATTATGAATTGTTAATTAAAAGTTTAAAATAAGAATAGCAAAGATTCTGTAATTCTTCATAAGAAAAAAATGTCAAACAAGCAATGGCAAAAAAAGAATGAGCCTTTTTTGAAACATGAGGTTTACTGTGCATGGAGGATGTGTTACCCTCCTACTTGTGGAGGACAATACTCTAATGATGATTAAAGATTGGCACATTACAAGTTAATAAGAGAAGGAATGAGGATTTCATTCAAGACATGGAACATGTGCATAAAATGTTTTTGTCAGTGGCTTAAGTTAATATTAATAGCTATCACTTCTGTGGAGATACGAGTAGCATTTCTGAAATACACAGCTTACAAGCTCTACATAATAAACCCTTTACAAAATAAATTCAAATGTTAAGGTCAGCATTAAATTGCTACTGTTTTAATAGTTAGTCATTTTTAGTGGAATATGCATACATTAACTGATTAGCTTAATAGCAGCAGCAGAAATTTTGAAAGTTGTCAACAGTAAAATAGGGATTATTTCAAACAGCCATGAAGCTTGAATATTCTACTACCTTTATCACACCTTAATTTTAATTGGACAGCATCTTTTCTTTTTTTAAAAAAGAAAGATAAAAATGATCCTTAAGTTAGGAAAAAACAACAACAAAGTTTCACTATATTATGCTATATTGGTCAATCATTTTATCTTTTAAATGCAAAAACAACATATTAATAATGTCTGTATTTTTTCATTATCATTTAGAGATTGCAAAATAAATTATAATAGTGTCCACAGTGATTGAAAACAAGTTTGTTCCAAGACTTTGTCTTGGCTGGCAAAAACAAAAAATTGTTCTCTGTAATATACCATAAACTTAGTTATCATTCCTCTGTACTAAAACACTGCAGAATATTCATAATTAAACAAACAACTGCTTTTTGATATTCAAATTACAAAAAATGCACATTTACTTTAGTTAATCAATAACTTGATTCCTGTAATTTCTAGCAAAATATTTAAGAAGTTTAGTTTTTGAGGACAAATATTCACCTCGTAAGTTAAAAGCCTTTCTACACTAGCTCTATAGAGTTGG